TGCTTATTAGAGTAGAAATCACTAGATTGATCTCGTTTCCAGGTCTTTGACTTGTGTTACCAAACCTGCCACTAAACAGTTCTGCTTAGGATAACTACAAAAGTCTAAAAAATCAGCTCTCCACCACTCTTTCGTAACTGCTCCAATACCACACAAAGTACTTGTATGGAGCATAGGAGATTTTCTACTCTCAAACCAACATGTGCTTCCAAAATTTAATTTTTCTTATTAACGGAATACACTTGGAATAAATATCTCCCTAACTGAAGCAGATGCGTGCACCTAACAGGCATCATTTTCAGAAAATGGCAACTTAAATTCAATGACACGAAAGCACGAATGAGTACCTTGCTTAACAAATATTCAGACACGACCTGGATCATAGCCTTGACACACCTGGTTGAAAGCAATTTAGTTGTAAGTAAAGATGATTAAACCTTATTAAAATGAAAACTGAATGCAATTTAGCTGACTAATCAAATTATTAAAGTTCCTATACCTGGTTGAATTTAAGTCCTTATGAATAAGAAATTTTACTTCTACGTATTTTTCACTTGGCAACTTCAGTATTTTGAGACCCTAGACAACAGAACTCATCAGTGTTAAGTGTTCAAATTCATCCTCTAAATTTCATACTTTTTGAATCAAAATCCATCTACAATGCCAATTAAGTTTCATTTTTTTAAAATTTTCTTATGCCTGGCTGGACGTGGCTCAGCAGTTGAGCATCGACCTATGATCCAGGAGATCGTGGTTCAATTCCCAGTCAGGGCACATGCCAGGGCTGCGGGCTCGATCCCCTGTGTAGGGCGTGCAGGAGGCAGCTGATCAATGATTCTTTCATCATTGATGTTTCTCTCTCTCTTCCTCTCCCTTCCTCTCTCTCTGAAATCAATAAAGATATATATTTGTTTAGTTTTTCTTATAATGCAAGTTTACAAATTAATTTATCATTACTAAAGATTCAAATTACACAAAAGCTACAGAATGAATTGTGAAAATCTCTTTCTACATACACACAGGGAAGATAACCAACATTAATTCAATACACAATGTCCCAATCCTTCAGCTATGAATGTTTCTACTAAATGGACCTAGATGTATATGGCTTTAAAGGACTTTTTTAAAACACATTAATTTGATGACACTATATATAATGTTCTGTACTTTTTTCTCTTAAGCTGTTGAGAGTATTCTATGTTAGTACAACACATCTAGCTTATTCTATTTAATGGCTGCATACCAATCCATAAATAGTCATATTTTACCTAACCATTTCCCTACTGAGGTATTCCTACCTCTTTGAAATTATAAACAATACTACAATTTAAGTTATACACATCAACTAAATATTTGACATAAAACAGTCAATACAACTATAATTGTGGAGGCACATTCAACAGTTAAGATCCCCTTAGGAGATGAAATATTACATTCCTAAAAACACAAAGTGAAAATCATATGGAGCGACACAATGAGAAATATCAATTATTTGTTTTCTAATTGTTTAAAATATTTTTCCTGTTTACAAAATGCTGGTTCAAGTGTCCCCTACTTTGTTGTAAACAGATGTTGCCACTAGAAGGAGCTCCATAACACTTTTGCACATTTAACATTCTGCAATTCAAAGCACTGTTTAAACCCTGAGATCTCTAGTTATACTATCCCTCACAGTCCACCTATGTCATCACCTTTCCTGAGAAAAAGCATGCACTTCTTGCTCACAAATGTTTAAACGTTTCATCTCTCCCACTTTTCAGATCAATCACATCAAACCGGCTTTTCATTATCCTCTCAAAGCCAGCTCTGACTCCCGTGTCCCTGACACCCTTACCAGCGAGGTCGATCCACCCATTTCAGGTCCACTTGCAAAATGGCCCTCCAAACTGCTGACCAATCTTGTTAATTCATAGTTGGTCTAACTTTCCAACATTCCCCCAGATATTTTTCTAAAGTCCATAATCTAGACTACTCTTCAATCCCCATTTCTCTCTTCCCCAATTCTTTCTTCTCATTTTTGGTAGATTCTCACTTTATAGAATTGAAGTCTTCATCTTCATCTTAACAGTATTATACCCAATATACTCTTATATTTCCTTATAAGCGCAAAACAGAGAAACATATTCTACATACCTAAACCAGCCTCTCCTACTCATAACTGTTGATAAGTGTGGAGGAAAGACTATTCTATGAGGTGACTGCCATCTGTCCTGCAAACTGCACCCAGGTTGCTCTCTGGAAACCGACCCTTACAGACTGGTAGATCGTAACCAATGTTCCAGGGAACACAACTGAGGAAATGCTTATTAAGTATTACCCCCAAAGTCATTAGACAGTATAATTACAAAAAAACTTTTTAAGGATTCATTTCAGGATACTTTTGACTTGCAGCTTCCTTACTGCTGCTTTTAACTATAACTTCACAAAAATTCTATTTATATACATCATTATTTATTTTTTTAAAAAAAACAGCAAAAACTTTTAAAAGATGTGGGTAGCTTTACTGACTTGACAATCTCTCACCAAAGCCAAAAGTAAAAAAACTAAAAAGAACAAAGTGTATCCAAAGAACTAAAAATAAAAGGAAGATAAAATAAATTTGGTACATAGACATGCTATTCTTCTCTAGGAGATTCACAACATTTATCAGAACACTAAAAGTTCCAAGTCCTCCAATTTAAAAAAAAACAAAAAACAAACAAGCCAGTTCGACATAATTTAATCTGTTGCCCCCCAAATTTACTTGACCATAAAATTTTTTTTCTGGTTAACACTTATTAACATCCCAATTCAAGCTGGTAAACATTATAACAGTTTTATCATTAAAAAAAAAAAAAAGCATAGCAGAGGGTCATTAGCCCTCATTTTTCCGCTTCAACATTTTGCAATGTTGAAATAATCCTTTAGAAAAATCTGAATAGGCAAGAGGTAGTCAGAAGGTAAATCTCTAAATTTTCCCATCTGATCTCATTCCCCACTCAATTTCTCTGTCTAGAAATTCTATTTCAATGATTAAGAAATAAGAGAAAAATAAAGACAAACTTTTGTCTTAATTAACCTTCAGAATTTACATCAGAGGAAATAAATTCTAGACCCTTATTCTAAATCATGCAAAACTGTGGTCTGAACAGGGTTAAAAGCAGGACCTCAAAACTGAGTCAAACACTAGTTCTTTATTCTTTATAACCTGTCTGTTTCCTCAGCAATAAAACTCTGTGGAATGGGAATGTTGCCTAAGTGAAAAAACATCTAGTCTCCACCATAAAAGCCTCACTGTGCACCTTTTCTAAACCAGTTCAGATTTTTTTCTTTTATAGTACATACTTTGACTTTTTCTCCTGGAACAAGAAGAAACGACCTGAAACCAGAAACGCAGGTACTTACCTAGGTGCACACCTCATCATTCAGGTGCAGTTAATTACCAAATGAAGTACAATGGGGATTAACCAGTTTGCACATTCACTACTTAACAGCTCCATACTAAATTACGTGTTCTTGCAAAACCACTCTACCAACTAGACAGAGCAAAAGTATTTCTGATGTGAAAGTCAGTTCAACTCTAATAATTTCAGTAAAGCTATTTATAGGTTTTTTTTGTTTTTTTAACCTACTCTAAATTTAAACCTGCTCCTCTTTTTCAGAAGCTGAAATTAGCATAAAGTTAAATACAGGAAAAATGTACACTAATGAGAACATGTCACCTCCTGCTGAGTTCTTGCAAAAGGCTACAAAGAATAAATTTCCCAGCCCTGCCTGGCAGGGCTCAGTGGTTAGAGTGTTGGCCTGCGCACTAGAGGGTGTAGGGTTAGATCCCCAGTCAATGTCCTGAACCTGGGTTGCAAGTCAGATCCCAGCCTTCCCCCTCAACCCCCCTTGGAGGGGGTGTGGGAGGCAACTAATGGATGTGTCTCAGTCATCTGGATGTCTCTCTCTCTCTCCCCTCTCTCCCCCTCCCTCCTCCCTTCCACTCCCTCAAATCAATGGAGGAAAAATATCCTCACTCCTCTGGTGAGGATTAAAAAAAAAGAATAAGTTTCCCCAGATAGTTTCAATTCTATTACAATCAAGCCTCCCTTTAAAAAGTGTTTTTTTCCTTTCAGGGATAAGGTCAGTTGTAAATTTCAATAAGAAAGGTAAGGATACAATTCTTTATACTGACAATGGCCGAGTTAATACCAATTTTAGTGCATATCAGTCAGTTCAGATATAATTCAGACCATTCCTTTTAGCTAACACTTTAAGGTAATATTAAAACAACTAAGTCTCCAAACATGGAATATAAGGGCCTAACTTTCTGTTTTACCTGTTCAGGTAAAACATTCGCTAAAGGTAGCCCACTATTTTTCATAGATGTTTTAAATGGGTGCACACGCAAGTGATGAATGACGTATGATCTATCGCCATGGTCACTTCTGGGCCTCTTCCACGAGATCGGGTCTAAGCCCATTCACCAAGTTATTGATTAGCAATAACTGTTGAGACGGGAGGTGGCAGGAAGATCATGTGTAATGCCATTGTCATAGCTCCAGTTACAGTTCTGTTTTCTATTGGGCCTGACCGAAAGACAGAAACTAAAAATAAATATTGTTTAAGAGGTAAATCCTAGCCGAATACAAGATAAGTTCAAGAGACCTCACCTCATGTTCCACAGGTTGCCTGGTGGCTTCTTGTGAAGACACCCCCGTCCGCACCTCAGTTCCCTCGGCCCTCTCCCCTTTTCCAACACAAACATTTCCCTTCCTTCTTGGATCCCTTCTCCGCGCCAAGCCGCCGCTTTCGCTCCCCCACATCCTCTCGAGGGCCCGCCCCCCCATCAGGTACCCTCCTAAGTCCACCACACCCCTCCCGCTCGCCGGGGTCGGCGCCGGCCCGGAACCCGGGGGCCTCGGGGGACGCCCCCCGCCCGGCACTCGGGTTTCGCACCCTCCACACTCCCGCTCCGCCGGCGCCTCAGGCCTCAGCAGCGCCCGGCAACACGCCCCCTGCCCGCGGCCCCTTACCGCACATGATGCTGGAGGCCCGGTGGGCAAGGTGCGTGGGGAGCGGTTGGCGAGGTCGAGAGCACACAGGAGCCTCGGCGCTACCGGAGGGCTTAGGAGCAGGGGGGCGTCAATACCACTCCCTCGAGGATGCAACAGCCGACTGCGTTCTCGGCCTCCCGGACTCGCCAGTAACTGCCTCTTGGCCCCGCCCCTCGGCACGCACCACGCCGCCGCCGCCTTCGCCATCCGCAGGTCCCATTGGGCCACGCCCGCGCCGCTCACGCACAGATCCCGCCCCCGAGCCGCCCCGCCCAGGAGCCCACGCAAGCACTGGCCTGCTGGACTCGAGAACGTGGCAGCGGTTTGTCGCGCATCCGCTTGGGGTTCCTGAAGACGCCCTGCCCCAGGGCGAGTAGCGGGAGGGACGATGACGCGGGGGAGGAGGAAACTCGGCGGCAGGCTGGGAATGAGGAAAAGATAAGGAAAGGGGAGGATGGGACTGTTAGCGAAGCAAATAACATTGGGGCGCGCCCCTAGCGCAGTCCACGGCTCCAAGCTCCAGCATCCCACGAAGCGGGGAAACAGGACGAAGAAAGCAGGAGGCCTGACGCACAAATAAGTCAGGGTGGGAACATAGACCTAAGAAAAAATTGCAAAGAATTGAGAGGAAAGAGATACCAAAATTCCTGGCTGCAAAGCGCCGTGCAGGTTCTGCCAGCCTCTCTGGTGGCCGGCAATTCAGTTCCATGTAATATGTAGGCTCCATGTAATAAGCTTGGCCTCCAAACGCCCTCCGCACCCCAACCCCAGCCTTTGCCTCCCTAACCCCGAGTATTTTGCATAAGAACAGGGGGAAACTTCTGCTGGCCCAACTGAGAGGACTAGGAATTGCCTAGATTTTACAGCCTTACTTTTGACTCATGAACAATTATTCTATGAATTAATGCACCATTCCTGCCAAGAGAAATTTAATCAAAGAGAGATGATGTTTCTGAGAATTTATTGCTTTAGGAAGATTTAAATAGTGTATTTAGTCAAATATAGATGGTTATGATAACACTATTAATGGCTCTAGAGTAGCATCAAATAAAAACTTTTATGGCATACAGAACATGGCATGGACTTCAGACCAGAGACGTCTCATCTTACCTCACACTACAGCTGCCTTCCTACCCCACCTTCCAGCCCTTTACATTCCAACAACGCTGAACTGGTCATTTCTGTTTGGCCAAAATTCTCCAGTCTTTTGCATACATTGGTTACTCTTCATGGAATCCACACCCCATCTGTATTTAAATGCTACCTCTTAGGGAAAACCTTTTTTGTCTCCCCCAGATGGATGTAAGGACATGCGTTAACCTCTCATTCTATGAGCTGCCCCCTTTAAAGCAATATACTTTGATATTTTATTTTATTTTACTTTGCATATTTACCTACTAGGCTAAGTTTCTGAAGCTAAAACAATAGTTTGCATACCCCAGCACCTAGTATAAACCCTAGCACAAAGGGATCAAAAATGCTTTTGAATGAGTGAGAAAAAGTCAGATGTTCTTAGCGGAACTGACTTTCTCTAACTAGTTATATGATGAAGTGAGCAAAGGGCTTTTCAGATTTTCATAGAGGGGGGAAAAAAATGCCTTTTTATCATTGGCCTCAAAGAGAGGCCAGAAAAGTCCTTTAATATTTCAGGTCCTTAAACAGCCTCCTAACTCACCCAGAACAAGGTTAAAAACAACAACAATGAGCTGTTTGAAAATAGGCAACATATTTATTAATTCAAGAGGCAAAGTTACAGAGGATATACATCTTAGCCTCAGAACTCTCATCTAAGAAGTTCTGGTAAAACCTCAGTGATATTGCCAAGAAGTCAAGGTATGATTATAATGTGTGTGTGTGTTTTTAATTGATTTTAGAGAGAGAGGGAGAGAGAGAAACATCAATGTAAGAGAGAACGATTGATCCCCATACACTCCCTGACTGGGGATCAAACCTGCTACCTGGATATGTTCCTTGACTGGGAATCAAACCCACGACCCTTCAATGCACAGGACAATGCTCCAACCAACTGAGCCACGCCAGCCAGGGCATTGTTGCAATGTTTGAACAGCACCTTTGTACACTGCCAGAAAACCTGTGAATGCACCAAAGAAAATGCCAGCATACCACCAAAGTTCTCATGCTCAAACTGTAATTATTGAACCCCCTGCTTTCCTCTTCTGCTTGTTACTCCATCATGACTATCAATCTGTCTTGTTTATCTCCATTGTACAGCTATTTTGGAAGGTGCTTATGCACCAGTTAAGAAGAAACTTTGAAGGCCAATATTTTCCCACCTGTTTAGTACAGGCAGACCCAGGGAAAGCCCCAAGAATGAAAATCTACCTCCATAAGTGGAAGGCAGGGAAAGACCCAAGAGAGGTTGGCCACTCCGGCCTGGTAATTGATAGAGTTTATAAAGGAAAACTTACAAGGCATGTCTTGGGTGACTGCAAGGCAAAATGGATCTCTGTGCTGCTGGCAGATGACAGCTATTTAGGGTAAAAGTGGGGAATAGTCACAGGTACAAGTACGTGAATGCTAGAAATTATATGCTTGACCAGGTCAAGACAACAACCTATTCCAGGAACCAGCACATAGCAGGAAGCAAGGGAGGGGTGCTGATTTATGTCAGAATGAACATCAATTAAGATCAGATAGTCTTTGTAAGGAGGTGTTTGCAGAAAGCAACTCTGTTCTGGTCCGGATCCAAGCTTGTGGGACAGACAGAGGCCACGTCATGGAACAGGCTCTCCACACTCCACCCCTTGCTGCCGGCTCTTACAATCTTGCCTAGCCACCTCTTCCATGAGGCTCCCTGAGTGTCAGTGAGCAGCTTCAGTAGCAGGCATGGAGCTTGCTTAGCTGCCAGTTGACCGCATTGGAGATACAGCAGCAGCAGCAGGACAGAAAGAAAGAAAAAAGACGAAACAGTCCAAGTATTAGTAACAATTTTTTCCATCATGCCCCCCGCTGTCCCCCCAGACCCAACTCATGGGTTAGTAGGTTACTTGGACTTGGGGCCAGATCATTTAACTTGAGTTTTCACATGTGCTAACAAAGAAAAAATATTAACAGATTCACCTGGTGTAAAACAACATTTAGTTTGGATAATGGCACAGGTGCCCACCCTGTAACTGGATGTCACAGGAACAGCAGAATTCTAAGATCAGAAAGACAAATATTTCATAGGGCCTTGAATTGAAAGAACTTCTCCTGTGAGAATTATATTTGTAGCCTGATCTTTAGGTGTTAATGTGGCCGCAGTCTTTGGAGCCTGGCCAGGCTGTGTAAACCAAACATATTGGCCAGGGGGAAGTGGTGCTTTCTGGCCTAAAGAGGTGAATTGGAGTGGGAATGTGCCAGACTAGGTCTCCTACCTTCTCCCCTCTTTCAATGGTGCATGTACGGGTAAACACAAATAGTGTGCCTCCATAGGTCCTGACTGCATTAGGATGACAGGATCCCACCAGAGACTGAGCAGTTTTTCATCTATTGTTAGTACATACAGACCCAGGAAAATGCCCCAAGACTAAAAATCTGCCTCTGTTAGTTGAAGGTAGGGAAAGATCAAAGAAAGAGGCTAGCTACTCCAATCTGGTAATTAGTAGGGGTTATTAAGAGAAACTTACATACAAGGAATGTCTTGGGTGACTGCAAGATTAAACCGATTCTGGAGCCTCTTGGCAGACACCAAAGAATTATATAGGGTAAAGGGGGGGGGGGAGAGATAGTCATGGGTACTAGTAAGTGAGTGCTACCAGGTACTGGGAATTCCTTTACATGCTTGACCAGGTATAGGACAACCACCTGTTCCAGGTACCTGCACAAAGCAGGAGGCAAGGGAAGGGTGCTCATTTATGTCATAATGAACATCAGTTAAGATCAGGCAGTCTGTAAGTGGGATTTACAGAAAGCAACCTCTGTTCTGGTACAGCTCTAGCTCACAGGACAGACAGCGGTCACGTCACAAAACAGTTTTTCCTCCACACCAACCTACTACAACAAAGAGCCCTTTGTAACCATGTCCCAGTCAAGAGACTGACATGGAAGAATTTTGTTTGTCTGAACTCCATCTACTCAGAGCTTTGCCTGAGCTGGACCTTTGGGAATAAGGGCTGGAGAAGAAAATAAATTATCTATGAAGGAATGGGGACATCTGGGTCTAATTCAAACATCTGAGAAAATGGAAAGGATTTCCTCTCCTGATCAAAAGCTGTGAACTGAACTAAAAAAAAAAAAAAAAAAAA